AGCGTGCTGTTGTAGGACAATTCAAGAAACGCTTGCCCGCCTTAGTAGGTCAAAAGTAGGTCAACTGAAACTTTTCCATCAATTTTTCAAAAACATCGTCACCTAGAAATTTAGACTTTTGTAGTCTCTGGAGTTTCCCTCATGTTCCCGAACTTCAAAAAACTAACGAATTCTAAAAAACTCAGAAATAAGAAATTTAACAAATTAGAAATTCGATATTACCCTCAAATCCAAAAATTTGAAGATATTCCAAAAATTCCAAAAATTCGAAATTCCTGAAAAAGTAGGTATACCAGAAGTTTGGAAAATTCTAAAACCCGGATCTGAAGTTCACTTATGGTAATTTTGAGGATTTTAAGAATTATTTTCACATTGTCCTTTTTCGAAAATTTCCAAAGTCTTTTTCACCTTTTCACTTCCCATTTGATGAAAACTTTCTCGAATTTTCAACTTCCTCCTTTTCCCATGATCTCTGTGTCCCATAGAAACAAGACAGAAATAGAGAAATCAGTTGAACAGAGAGACCATCTGGAAACTAGTAGACACTTGCAAAAACGTGAGAGAGTGTGAAATTGAGAGAGCATCTAGAGAAAACAGGGAGAAATTTATTTGTTTGTTCGATGAGTCAGCCGGTTCGGATTGGAAAAATCAGTCGCGCAGAAAGTTTTTTTTGGGTGTTTCATGAAAAAAAAAACTTATTTTGCCTGTTTTTGGGTCATTTTACAATGAAGTTTTCAATTTTTGAAATCTCAAAAATCATCTATATTAATTTTTTTTTTTCATTTTATAGAAGATTTCAACCTGATGCGTAATTTTTGTTTGTATTTTGATCATAATTTGGTAACCTAGAAAATCCCACATTTTTGATGTTTTGTAATTTTTGAGCAACCTCCTACAAATCTTGAGTTCCACCCACACAAGCTGCATTTGATTCCAAAACAAAAAATACCGGCTAGTCCTATTGAATTTTGGTCGGATAACAAAAAAGGGCGTATGCTAATCCTTTTCTTGTGGGACTGCTTATCTCTAGGATTATTTTTAGATGAATTTTGTTTTGGTTTATAAGAGAGTAGATGTGGGAGAGATTTTCATGTTTATTTTTTTTATGGCCATTTCTAAATAGCTTATGTTCTCTAATAGAAGCCCATCCAAACAGTCAGCTTTGAGCTCAATCATCTCTATTCCTGTGAAAGTTATCAAAAATTTGTCAACTGATAAATTATTTATCATAATATCACCAAAATTTAATCAGTTGACCGAATTTTTGTATTTTTAATATGAGCCGAGATAATTGTGCTCGAATTCAACATGTTTTTTTTTTCCAAAAATTTCGCAAAAGTTCCCTGCATATCACCTGGAATTCTGAAATATTCGTTTCAAAGCAATCTTTGACCAATTAATGTTCTTAAAAACTGATAATAATGATTTCATTTTGAAACCGCTTATTTATTTTCGCTTATTTGTCCGATTTTTCAGTGGTTTTTGCTTCTCGAAAAAGCGGAAAATTTCTGGGCTTTTTCGATTTGAAACCAGTTTTTTTTCTTTTATAATATCATAGTTGAAAAATCTCGGTCGAGAATTTTGGCGGGCCGGGCCGGGCCGATGAGGTGCCGGACCGTTGCAACTATACATAATGTCCCAAATTTCCAGACTTTCGCGAATCGTCGCTTGATTTTCTGATTCTTTAAACTCCTCCACAATGATCCACATCCATTCCCTATTAATCTAGCCAGCTATTTTCTTTAAAAATTCGTAATTCCTCTTATAGTTTAAGCCGAATCGGAAGTGTTAAATATATGACGTTCCAGATGTTTTTCTTTTCCGTCTAGATTTTCGTATATAAAATCTAGAATTCTTAAAGTTCTTCAATTTTTTTTCGAGTTTCCGAATCCCAACGTTTTTCAGATTTCCAAAATGAAAATGGTCGATTCCAAAGTCCTGGTCTACTTCACAGTTTACATAGCGATTGTCAGTTGTGCAACAATAGGAAAATTGCTCCAAGTTCCTGATAAGGATCCAACTTTAAAGGTGAGCTTTAAGAATGCATAAGGTGTTGCGGTATTTTTTAAAGGCGCAACACCGCTCTGCTACGGAGCTACGCGTACGCGCACTGTGGGCTTAATTGTCTTGGTTCCTATAAGAGATATGAAAAATCTGCCCACTGATAAAACGTTTGTGATATTATGATAAACAATTTATTAGTTGATAACTTTTTCATATCTCTGACAGGAACCGAGATAAATTGCCTCAAAATTAAAAGTTAGGGAGCCCTTTTATTACAGGTTTCACTGGATTGAAGGTGCGGCGCCGACTGAGAAAACCCACAAATTACGTTTAACCTGAAATTCTATTTTCCCATTTTTCAGGCTCTGGTCTACAAGGATGGTCTCCCAAAAGCCAATACAAAAATCCATGACAATGTGCTTTGGGTACCAGCGACCACTCAATTTTCAGCCAGACGGATTACTGTAATGAATCAGGGAAAGTTGTACAGCACATGGACATACGACATGCTTCTTCAGCAAAGTGATTGTCGTAGTAGTGTGAGTTTTTGATTATTTTCTTGAAATTGGAAAGCTATCTTAAAACCTGTAGCTGTCAACTTTGAGCTCAATTATCTCTGTTCCTATGCAAGATATCAAGAATGTGCTAACTAATAAAACATTTCTGATATTATGAGAAACAATTTATAAGTTGGCAACATTTTTATAGCTTTGAAAAGAAGCGAGAAAAAATGGCTCAAAATTGAAAGTTGGGGTTTTACGAAAACTAGTAAATGTTTCAGACAACACCAACATCCGACTTGCCAGGATGCAAGCCCAATTCATCGTCCCCAAAAACACTCTGCAGTGTCCATACTTCACTTTTTGACAATGATTTGTCTTCAGCCGAGACTGAAGTTTATTGTACTAAAGCTTGAATAAACTATTTTTTCCCCAAAAAGTATTTTCAAAACTTACACTCACATGTTCAACTCCTCAAATCGTTTGAATTCATGTAGATCGGCTTTTTTGACCAAAGTCCATTCGAAATCCTATTTATTTGAAGCCGGGATTCTTGCTGAGAAATGAGGATGATTATTCAGAATTACCGTAAACACTCTAATAGAAGGCCACCCAAGTCATCAACTTCAAATGTGTATATCTCAGTTTTCACAAAAGATATCAAAAATTAGTCAACTGACAAAATATTTTTGATATTATGATAAACATTTTGTCTGTTTACCACTTTCTCATATCTCTTACAGGACCCGAGATATGCCGGCTCAAAGTTGGTACATATATGATTTCACAGGAAGAGGTCTGTTTTTTTTTCAAAACTTACTGGAATTTTTAAGAAATTTCGAAATGTAATACATAGAAGAGCCCGTAATCCTTCACTTCGAGCGAATTTAGCTCGATTCTTTCAAAGATATTTAAAAAAAATGTCTGATAAAATTTTTATCATAATATCACAAACTTTTTATCTGTTAGTACTATGTTGCTATCCTGCATACGGACCAAGATAAATTCTTTTTTTTTTCGTCGGAAACCTTATACTAATAGAAAGTCAGTTCTCATACTCAAACTACCGTAAACACTCTAATAGAACGCCACCCAAATGGTCAAATTTGAGTCGATGTATCTCATATTCTGTGAAAGATATCAAAAAGTGATAAACAAGTAAATTGTTGCTGATATCATAATAAACATTTTATCAGTTGACAACTTTTTGATATCTTTCAAAAGAAGTGAGATATATAGGCTCAAAGTGGACGGTCCGGGAGGCGTTCTATTAGAGTGTTTACGGTATACAAAATTTCAAAAATCAAGATTCTCACCTTTTTCATCTTGGAACATCTTTGTCACCTCTATTCGTATCCTCATAAAAATCAGAGTCGTGTTTTTCCTCTTTTTGTCGTTTTCTTGCTTTTAATCTGCAATTACCGTAAACACTCTAATAGAACGCCACCCGGACTGTCCACTTTAAGCCTATATATTTCACTTCTTTTGAAAGATATCAAAAAGTTGTCAACTAATAAAATGTTGATCATGATATCAGCACTATTTTGTTAGTTAAGCACTTTTTGATATCTCTCACAGAATATGAGATACATCGACTCAAATTTGACCATTTGGGTGGCGTTCTATTAGAGTGTTTACGTTATTATGTTTTAAATTGGAAGAATCGAAAAAAAGTTAATAAGATTACCAAAAATCGATTTCCTTGTCTAGAAAAAATCGAAAAATAGAGATCAATTAGTTAGCATGCTTTTGATCTACTTATTTGATCTACAGCAAAATTCGTATCATCCACATCATTCTTATAAAAAAATCCATGGGGCTGCGTCTCTTTCTTTTGTCCCTCTTCAAGAAAGATGGTTTCCCTGAGATCTGTCAGATAAATCCAAATTTGATCTACCGTATAATTTTTGTTTTTGTGAATCTCAATTCAAAAACTACTTTTTTCTATTTTCTAACTATTTCTGAGAAGTTATGACGTCTTCTTTTTGTTACAGAACTTTTGTCCCACCCTGTATGAGCTCGGCGGTTTGGGTAACCTTCTACGGTAGTTATCTTAATCCTTTGATTCTTGTCACCTTGATTATGTTCAGAAGCTTAAGTAAACAAAACATTGAACTTGTGGCCAATTTATTCTTTGTGTTCAATTTAGGAAATTAATGTTTTCAAACAGATTCAATTTGAATTTTGTGACAAGAATGGATGGGGAATATGGAAGAGACATAAATAATCATGATAAAGAGCATAAATGGGGGGTATTATGTAATTTTAGGAGGAGGTGGGGGACGAGAGAATTTTTAAACGTTCAGTCAGGGCAAAAAAATGCGGTTGAGATTAAAAATTATTAAAGGTCGTGTACGGTGAAATTTTTTATTGCATCAAAATGTGCGGAAATGCATGTAGATTGGCATTAAAATAAAGAAAAAATTCAAAAAAATTCCTTCATCGAGAAAAACGCATCGAAAAATACGCTGAAAGCCCTTAGGGACGAGGTTTTTTCTAGGCCGCCCGGTGAGTTTTTCTAGGCCGCCCGGTGAAAAGCGCGCGAATTCAAACTTTTATAATTTTTTCGGCTCGTTTTCACTGTTTTTTC